GGAAACTACTGAGCATAACAGTTAGCCTGCAGATTTGATTCCTGCAGGGGCCACACACCCACCCAGTAAATTTCTGGCATCTAACTGAGAACGAAATCACCACTCACTAGCACCCTCGAGCCACAGGCTTTGCCTTACGGTCGCAGCAACTGGTGTTGTTTTCTACGGGCGCCGCATGGAAAGTATGAAGACGATTCCATAGAATGACGTGGGTGCTGACAAGCGTCCGCCGAGGGGCAAGGGCTCTGCGACCCCTGAAAATTTTGAAAGGGCCCCCCTTACATAATAAAGCATGATACTTCCATAAATATGTTCAATACCTGATAAAAATGACGAATAGAACATGTGGATACATTTTAAACTTCACTGTTAAAACAAATTCATGCGCCCATTAGTCTGCCGGTATATTGTTAAGTTATGTATGTTTGAGTATTTATTATCTCCTCGGTATATTTAATTTGAAAACAAAAATATTCCTGTTTTTCTAGGTGTGAAAGTTAACACTTGTGTTGTAGTCATTACGTCGTTTACTCCCTATTTTTTCAACAATTAAAATTAATTACACGTTTAATTAGGGTGGTGTATTTTTGCAAAATATGGCATAAATTTTCAAAATTGCAAACAAATCGCACATTTTCAAGGCAAAAACGTGATGAAGTTTTGAACCTTGAGTTTTTAATTTGATAGGTGGCCTATTATGACTAAAATCCCCCCTCCCACACAGAAACTCATGAAATGTATAAAATATCGAGAATTCGTCGAAAAACATCGCTCTTAAACCATCAATATTTTTAAACATCAAGTATTTCAAACTTCATTAGTAACCATTTTTATTCCACAAGGAAGGAGAATGTAACTTGACGGTGGTAATTTTTCTATTAAGATTTAATAGACAATATGCAATGAATGATCAGGATATTTAACAGGTTTGTGTGTGTGTGTGTGTGTGTGATTGAATAATTCAAAAATTATGTGGACTTCATTTATAGACGAAAACTCGATTTAAATTCTTCTACATTCTTTGTCACTGATGTTAAGAATGATTAATATATGAGATTATTATTATTATTATTATTATTATTATTATTATTATTATTATTATTATTATTATTATAGATGTTTGTTGTGATGGTGCTTTTTTCATTACAAAATAAATTATCAACCACGTAAAACATTGAACACAAAATACCGACGAGACGTTAAAAAAATGTCGGCTTCAAAAAATCGATGTGACATCTATCGATGTTTTGAAAACATCGACATCGATGCCACATTCCCAGCGGCTATGCGGTTGCGTTGCTGCGGAAAGGAGCCGAGGGCAGACCGTGCAGACTGCTGCACAGCTCGGGCTCACGCCACTGCGCGTCGGCGAAACCAACTCGAGCGCCCTCGCGGCAAATCGCGACATCCGCCGCTTTGCGCGAAACCCACGCTGCCGCCACGCGTCGCCGCGCGCGCTCGCCAACAAAACAACTGCAACGCGCGAGGCTCGCCGCGCCGGCTGCAGGCCGTGGGCGCGCACAAGAGTTGGATTCCGCCCAGATTTTCAGAAATTCACCGAGAAAAGTAGTGGAAACCAATGTAATAAATATATTGAAAATCATATTCAATAACTGAATAACAACCAATACATAGTGAGCGTATCTGTGATTCAAATCAATGTTCGATATTTTTATACCGTAATGAAAACCAATTAAATATACTTCAATAATTGAATAACAACCAATACCTAAATTCAAATGTACAAATTCAATTCAAGCTAACGACGTTTTTTTAAATATAGCCACCACAAACACCGCGATAAACTGTGATTTACGTCCGCGGGAGAGCGTTTTGATTTTGGCCGTAGTTTTGCGGCCGCTTCTAATATAGAATATGTTTTAAGCTATGAAATGGAATGTGAAACGCGGGGCAATAAGGCTGAAAAAGAATTTTGATAGTAAACTTTCAGATACATAAACCTCGATATCTGAAATGTAAAGGGAGAAAAGTATGTTAGTGTCGAATAATTCGATACAAAGAGGTTGAAATTGCTAAATCCCTACTGCTTAAGAAAGGCGAAGGAAGATCAAAGAAAATTCAAGATATCATGGAATCCGATTGAAAAGAATTAAAATTAGTTTATTGTTTTTAATGCGTAAGGATATTTAATTTATATCGAAATTTAACTAATGTATAGGTGTTCGACTAAAACATTACAATTTGCTCACTTTACGACCTCGAAATTTGGCGCCAGGGTCTAGGGCTATAAACTCGCTCTTGACAACAATGGAGTAAGAGACAGGGATCTGTTCATAGGAAGCAATGCTCGTGACGACCTGAGTATCCTCGAAAATTTGTCAGTCACCCATCACAATTAAAAAAGAACAAAATAAAAGAATCTTGGAAGCCATCCCTAATTTACCAGATACACAGATGAAATATTTTGCGCAATGGACTAGATAAGGAAAAAAATATTTTAATAAAGATGAAGCTCCTTTTTAAGAAGGTTGGTTCCTAAATTATTGTTGTTGTTTTTCTTTGTGAAGCGAATACCTGCCGCCCCGCTCCTTTTCATTATGCCATTAAAACGAATAGCGAAAAGTCTCGAACTTCAATGTTGTTGATTTCACTTATTGACTGAAAACTTTTTACAGGCTAGAAAGGCAATGAAGATTTATTTTTATTTTACTTTGTAAATTCTTTGAATGGATACTGTCTCTTGTCACACACACACAGACTTTGAATGGAGACTTTCATGCGACAAGGTATCGCTGTAAGTTGCCTGAGACATGGCATCGCTGGCTATTCGGTGACGTTGGGCAATTTAGGAGCTCGTTTATCCGGTCCGTCCGTTAATTCTTCGGGTAATAAAATAATAAAATTACATAGCAGTATCCACTGTCAACGCAAACTTCAAACTCTGTCTTCAAAAACTATCGTCTCTTCACTACACTTACAAAAATCTGCTAATTGAACAGAACTTGTGATCAAATGCATATGTGGATAAACCAGCATAATTTTTATGATTTGTTTTTCTTGTCTGTTGTACAGAATCTAAGTGTGATGGAATTTTTGGTTCTGCTGTACGTTCCAAAAGGGTGGAGTTGGGCGGTAGACGAGAAAGATATTATTTTGTTTTTAGTTTTTTAAAATTATTTTAATCCTCATATTTCGTTCCAAAAAGAAACGAGCACGTAGGTACCTATTACTATCCGACGAGCAGACATTTCCAGCATTTTAAAGATCCCTGAAGATGACAACAATAATTGTGGGTGAAAACTGACTTAAAGGAGAATAAATAATGTTTCACTCGTCTGTAATATATAAATTGCTAGAGCATGTTTCTCAACTTCTTTGCTTCATTTTAAGCGGAAGAAACAATACCATTTATTTAATACTTATTTACATAGTAAATTTATTGTTCACTTCTCATATAAGAAAAATTTTAACGAAAAATTAATCATTTCCATTAAATAAATGATACTAAAATATGCAAAACCCTTTATTATTCTCTAAGTTAACGAAGAAAAACTACTAGGATTGACACAAACGACCCCGGTCGTGACAAAATTCGTAGAAGGCGATTTTTTAGCTAGGCTCGTTGACAATGTTCCTATCTAAGAGTATAACGGGTTCGAATAAAAATGTAACTAATGAATATCTCTCTCAAAATATTTGCTTGTTAAAGCAATCATTAAATAATGGTTTGCGTTCGTGAAGTTGATATCCTAAACAAGAAACGTAATGGAACATAAAAAAACAGTCCTGCAAAAATAACTCCAAGGGAAACATTGCTTTATGGAAAAGTGAACTACTTCACATTAATAGAAAGGTAACTGAAGATAACTAACCATTTTAGTTTCATGAAATCAACACATTTCACATAAGCTTTGATCTTCTATAATAGATTTGTACCACATATTATACTAATCACACCATATGGTTAAATGGCAATAATATAGATGTACCGTTTGACCCAGAAGACATTACAGCAGAAAATAAAACGTGTCGTCACGACATAGTCCTCGCTTAAAATGATTCTTTGTGAGAAAGAAGCGTTTAGTGTCTCCCACGCAAGACAACACTACAAATAATGGTAGAGTTCACAATGGAACACATCAGCAGCCTGTTTTTTTCTTCCCTGCGGGTCTTTTACTGGAGGGTTCCCTCTGCATGTTGAGCGCCGCATTCGACGCGCTTACGCGGACTGGGAGTGAGCACGTGTGGTAGCTTGCCCTATCTGTTGGCACGAATGAGAAACGTTTCCTGTTGGTGTGAACGCGCTCTCGCGATAGCGCAAGGAACTTACAGCGGCTTGTGTCACCTTCGGATTTAGTCGACAATTCCCGCATCTCTAGCGCGAATATGATGACAATTTGAATTAGCGTACTGTGAAGACATTTTCTAATTAGTAGAATTTTGAGAGAATACCAATGGAAATACCGGTGACTTTCTCTTATAATTTCACGTAAAGCATTGAAAGAATTTTCTCTTCATTTTCCCTAAAATATAAACATTTTGAACGTGAAGTATTAAACGCAATATTGTAGTATGCAACCGACACAATTCATTAAATAATACATCCTTAAATTAGTAGGCAGATTTCCTTTAAAAATGTGTTTAATAGGAATAATATATTTTTAAATAAAAAATGACAAGTTCAAGAGTTTTCAAATTGTAATTGCTCAATTTCTTGTAGGTACCTTATCCATTAATAAAAAAGCTTATTGAAACAAGTATTACTATATTTCTATAATAATATTGTACTCTAAAAAAACTTCCTTCGTTCGTTTTCGCACAACTGTTGTAGATAATATTAATGTAGAGAGATCACATTAATCTATACTATATGTACCCGCTTTATATATCAAGCTTTAAATCATCAAGAACAGACTTTCACACTTTAACTAACACAATAATTGCATTGAGATGTTATATTTACCACCGCAAATGTGAATCATTTCCAAATGCAATTCTTGGTGTTCTTCGAAAATTAATGGTTCGATGTTTCATTTCAGGCGTTCGGCATCATCTGCATGGCCTGCGCCTCCCCTGCCTATCTGCAGGGCACGCACTGGTTCCTGTTCGTGGCCACGGTCAGCTTCATCACCACGCTGCTCTGGGTGTTCGTGTACCTGCTGTCGGTCCGCGAGGAGCTTAATCTCCCAATTAACTGGGTGCTCTCGGTAAGTGCAGTCACGAACTCTCAATTTGCTTTTGTAAGGTTTCTAGGCAACAGAGCCAGGTGCACAGGTTTGTGCTATTAGAGTAAACGTTTGCGAAAATTTTCCCCGAAGTTTCATCTGTATATGGTATTCAGAGGCTTCTTTCTGTAACATGTAAGTTTCTTTTTTACACTTTCGACAATTTTAAATATAAGCTCAAGATTTTCTAAATATTATGGTAATCTCTTTACTATATTGTTATACTAGAACAAATAATCATATGGCAAATAATTGCACATAAATGACTTTATAACAATTACATAGACAAAAAATATGAACAAAAGTTTTTAAAAGTGTGGTTTATTATGTTTATATTTTATAATTTTTTGTACTATTGTAGTTTTCAATATTTAGAAATAGAAACAAATATTATTAAATGTTCTAAAACTGTTTGTAAGACATCAGTTAACAATATCATTTATACTTGTAATCAATCGTATTTTGATTACACAGATCTGTTGTCGGCGCATATCCAGCAATTGACCATCAATCTGCCCCTTTAAAATTTCATTGACTCCCTTTCTAATTTAATCGACCACCAGGAAGTCGATACGAACCCCATTGGGAAACACTGATTTAAAACATTTATATACAAGTTCATGAAAAGCTATTAACAAAGGTGAAGCAGAAGGTATTAACAATGTTCTGAGAACAAAGCACAACATTTTGTGCTAGTGACATTTGTTTGTTCGCCACATATATGCTCACCTCGTGGAGCTAACAGCGCCTGTTTTAATGTATTTTCTTGGTGTCTAGAAAATCTAAACCTCGGGACACTGATCTTAGTTAAATTTGAATTATTCTGCAATGTTACCTTAATGAATAAATACTCGGGAATACTTCATTAGAATGTTATTTATTTGAAAGAATATTATTATTAGTTAATAATATGTAGCGTAATATAAAGTATAATATATGTATATTTGTATTAAATACAATTTCACAATTAAACTACCAAATGTATTTCCATTAAGTATAAAAGTATGAGTGTATGAATGAATAAGTAAGTAATTGTATGTTCAAAAGTACTTAAAACCTACATAAAAATTATATCACACGGAATAATACAACTTAAATAAATAAAACGTTTTTATTTATTTCACAACCAAACAAAAATTGATGCTTGTTATTTGAAACTTAGGTATAAATTTACATTTATACATAATTTAAAATTTAAATATAAACTTACGTGTAAATATTAAGAAAACGCAGTTGACAAAATGGTTCTACCGGTATACAAGACATAAATTGCATTCTAATAAATAAAAATACTCGTGGAAAATCTTTTAGAATTCCTTTAAAACGTGACTAACATTATAATAATTCAAAATATGAATCTAAACGAATGTAATTTCTTTCTCGGCGTACTGTAAGGAGTTCTGCCGCTTGTTTACCTTGTGACTATTTGGTTATGTAGTTCACTAATCCTTTACTAATTGTGCTTCCTTTGCCCCATTGCAGGAGCTCATGAATACAGGTGTGGATACCGTGCTTTACTTCATCGCGTGCATTGTGCAGCTGGCAGTGTGGGGAGAGGTTTCACATCCGTACAGAGCAGCTAACATCACCGCTGGAGTAAGTAAACGCACTTTCTGCATTTAGAATTGAAATGGTTCTGGGTTCGAATAAGACATGTGTTTGTCATCATTCTCAGTATTTTTAGAACAGATAAATTCACAGGGGAAGAAATTGTGGAGTTCAAAAATAAATCAAATAACATTCACACAAAATATAGATCACAGGACAAATGTCTTCAATATATTACATAATAATTCATAATAAGGATAATATGCGTAATAAAGGAAAATGACTTTAGGTCGAGTGGATGTTTCTATGAGTAAAAATTGACTTTTAAAATGGTTATTATTTTCATGAAATTGTGACTCTTACCTGCAGTGACAGGAAAGTATAATCAAGATGACTTGTTGAGGGAAACAAAATTGAATTACAGTATTTCTAATTAATTTTGTCTCAATTATCTTAGAATTATTTTCAAATAAAGGAATAAACAACTGTTGTTCATCCTTTTTCCTCGTTACTTTTCTTGAATTATATCGACTATGGGTTGAATGAATTGCTTTGTACCTGAAACCTTGTAATCTAGAAACAGATCTTGCTTACAATATTTTTGAGATACATAACTTTACATGCTACTGTTAAAGCTCACGTTATATCAACATTCGGTTTCTTTAAACTGCTGTTGACGCGCCCAGAAACATCAATCAACCCTCTGGGGGAAACGTCTGCCTGCCAGGCAGATAGTTTCTTTTGTTATCACTGGGAGGGGTGTAAGTACTTCAAGCGTCTTCACTCTGCTCAAGTGCTTCAGCATGCTTATAATCGTCAAGGGGAGAGGGACAATGTAGCTGTGGCGTGCGACCTTTTCAAGTAAACTTGGTTTTTGAAACTAACAATGCTTCAGAAATAGATGTTCCCACAATTGTAGGTTTTGGTATCTGCTTTTCGTTCACATGTTCTAAAAGACGAATGGTAAAAATCTTATTCTCAAGCAGATTTATTTATTCAATTGCTTTGTACATATTGTTGAAATATTTTTTTGGCACGAGTTTTATGTATTTTCTTGATAATTGCTTAAAAGATGTTGACTACGCTTACTCATAAATAGTCTGACGATATTTATGCCTTTTCTAATAAGAACATGTAGAAAAATAACAAGAAAATGTCTGAATTCCACAATTAAAAGGAGAGTGATTGATGCGTTTTGGTAATGTCTGCCTCTGGGGAAGGGAAAAAATCATGTTCCTGAGTTCCTGTATTACTTTTTAACGTTATTCGTAATGATGATAATTATTTTTACACAGTAGTACGTGCCTTCTCTCATAAAGTAGTGAAAATCTAAAGACAACAAAATTGACTCGATTGGATAATAATCTGAGTGTGTGTGTGCGGAAGAGACCCCCTCCCCGCTGAATTCACCTCGAAGCTCCCTCCCGAAGTGGCCGCAGAACGCTTTTAATGTTGCCGTTGTGCGCTTCCGCAGGTGTTTGGCATCCTGAACACGGTCGCGTACGGCCTGGGCACCTACTTCCTGTTCGTGCAGTGGAAGAGCAGCCGGACGCCCACCAACTGAGCGCGCGGCGCTCGCGGGCGCCGCCCAGCCTCCGCCCCGGGCGCCCTTCGCGTCGGCCGAGCCCGCCCCTGCCCTCGGCCCTCCGCCACGGAGCCCGCGGCCGCGCCTCCGGCCCGACGAATCACTGCCTCAACGAGTGCCCAGCGCGATGTGACGGCTGAGACGACGTCGCCGTCGTAGCTGCCGTCGCAGCTGCCATCGTCGCTGCCGCCGCCGCTGCCGTTGCTTCTGCTAGTGTCGGCGCCGCCTCGTGGATTCAACGGAACGGAACCATTGATTTTTTTTTTCTTTGTTTTTTTTTTTTCTTTTCTACCGTTATCGCGGCTTACTTCTTGCAGTATCGCGACTTACTTCTTACAATATCGCGTCCTTCTTCTTGCGATATCGCTATTACTTCTTGCACTATTTACTTCGTGCGATATCGCGACTTACCTCTTGCGAAATCGCGACTTACGTCTTGTGATGCCGCGAAGATCTTGAAATGTCGAGAGGAATCATCGTGCTACATCGCGAATCGCTTCGAGCTGAAAGTGACGTGCCCTCCAACCAGAGTGGCCCTCCAACCAGAATTCGAGTGTTTGTGAAAGTGCCTTAAGTGGTGATGCTTTTCTCTTTTCATCATCTTTTCGATGGTTTCGGAGTTGAGGTCTGCGCCGCTTAGCAGAACACGGACTATTTGCAAGTAGCGGCATTGTAATATAGTTATAACTCTCCAGGTACAGGGTTATTTGTAATGATTCGTTCAACTATTTGTAAATCCACAACTTAGTTTTATGTCGTGCACCATAGGAGAATTAGTGTAAGTTTAGACTGAACGTTTGTCAGACAGTACATACTTTTTTCATCTGTCTAAAATAGTAACATATGATTTTGTAGTATTTCACTACTACATCAAAGTTTGGACAATGAAAATGTTGTGTGTTTAGAGTTGTAATTATTAATACAGAAACTGCAACGTTTCGAAGTACTTTACACTTTTTCTGGATGTTGTTTTCACTTGTTCAAAAAATAAACAACAGGTAATTATAACAATTACGTTGTACAAAATGAAGAGTTTCAGTTATAAATGTTATAATGAGAACCATCACTTCACTGTTTGAAAGTATTTGTAGTTTTCTTGACGTTGTAAATCATTATAAGTAACCCACATAGAATAAATAATGTTAATGGTATTCTACAAGTATCTGGCTGTGTAGAGTTCTCTACATGACATTGTAAATTTATATATGAAGTTCATTTACGTTCATTGACTGACATGGAAAGGTTAGATCTGGAGTATCTGTGTAGCATGTAGTAACATGTGTTCAACATTATTTTCAAAAAAAGGCATCTTACATTTTATATTCAGTCACGAACTCAATTACAGCCAGCTTGTCCATAGTTGTGTACTGTGTATTAAACGTATCTACAGTTGTTTTGTATCAACGAAGTTCTGTAACCTGCTCACTTCATGCAATAAATGAATGTTTTTATTTATAATATTTCAAAATTGATTGTATTGTATAAATATTAATAATTGAACATATAACTATTAACCCAACAAAAGTAAAAATATAAAAACGAATGATGTACACGAAATGTCTTAATATTGAGTTACACTGAAGAGTAAACTCGATCTTTATCTTCTTGTTGCCTCATTGAAAACGTTTTCTCGAATCTCATATAGTAACTTGACTTATATATTTATCACGTGGCCAGTATATTTGATCAATATTTATGGTTACCTATTTACAAAGTTTTCAATTTTCATGCAACTTCCAATTCATCATTTAAACAACTATGTTCTGCAATGTACTTCTCCCCATAGTATATCACTCACAGTTTTTAAACTGATTTTAACGGAAAATAATTAAGTAAATAAATAAAAACTATTTGTAAAATACACCAGAAAGTATGCAGTCGAAGAAGGGTAAGATATTTGAGATTTTTGTGATTTCACGTAACGGATCGTCCCAAATTATCCCTTTTTAAAATTTATTTCTACCTCTTCGACATGTTTATCTTTCAGGGATTTGAACATTACAAATAATTAACACATGATTTGATTCTCACAGAAAACCTGAAGTAGGAAGTACTAAGATTTAAATGTTGTAAGGAGATTAAGATATAAACAATTAGAGTTTGTAAATGAAATGTAGAGTATAAGGATAGTATATTGTAAGTTTAGAATTTAAGGGGGATGAACTATAACTTTAGAGAATTTTGATAGCATGTATCGTGGAAAATGATAAGTTCTACGCAAATTGAAATTGCGCGTCTGATGTTCTTTTTACATTCTTGTCTCTCCGGGATGAGCCGCGTCTCGGTCAGTTGTGCTGACCGAGAAGCTATGAAGAAGGCTACAGCAAGATGGCCGAAACGTCAGCACAATTGACCGAGACGCAGCTCATCCCGGATAGCCAAGAATGTATTGGCCGCGCAAGCCTACGAACGCATATGCTGTAATTCTTGTAAGGAATTAAAAAATTTAAGACTTTATGCACGTATTAAGGTGTCTGTAGTATTAGTTTTTAGTTCATTATGACATTGGGAGTTGTGAAGATACCAGGGTGCAAAAAATTTTTTTTCCGGTTGAATTTGAATTTGAGAATTTGTGTTTGTTAATATGTGTTTTGGCAGCATGATACCAGATGGGGTAAGCAAAAGTAAGAGTAGGACGAATAACTGTTGTATAAATTAATTTTGCTAAGTGAATGTAAATATGAGATTTATGGTTAATGAGGGAGTGTAATTTGTGAATTTCAGGGTTAGCTTTATGTATAAATTTTTAATATGGACGTTCCATTTAAGTCTAATGTCTAAGAGGAGTCCAAGATATTTGACAGGTAAGATTCAGGGTTCAGTTGATTAAGAATTAACATTTCAGAAGGGGTGATTAGTATAAAAATTTATTATTAGTATAAAGATTTTAGCTTCACATTTATCCATGTTACTTTTAATTTACCATTTAGATGTCCAATTTGTGTAAAATAGAAGGTCATATTGTAATCTATTTTTGGCAGTTGATAAATTTTTGACTAATGAAGAATGCTGTATCATTGGCAAAGAGCTAAATCTGGGTATATAAAGTTGGTAATATCAGAGAAGATAGATGTAACAAAGTAGGAGGGACAGACAGGACCTCTGGGGCACGCCGGCACGAACTGAAAATAGTTGAAAAAAGTAGAATTAATTTTGACTCTAAAAGTGTGATAAGAAGGAAACTTTTGAATTATTTTAAATAAATAAGTAGGAATTCAAATTTGGAGTAATTTACAAATAAAAGCATGATGCCAAATATTGAATAATATATTATTTTTAATTAAAGGAGTTTTCAATTTTTCCTGTTAGTAAAAAGTTGATCAGTAATTGCTTGCTGATGAGTGGAGCCAAATTGAGTGTGAGGAATAATTTTGTAACAGTAGTGAAGTGTAATAATCTGTGATGTAAAAGCGTTTTAAATATCTTGGAAAGAAAGGAAAGTAAATTAATACGACGATGTTCGAATAATTCGATGGGTTCCTAGAATTTTGTTTGTGCTTTACGAAAGGAAAGTACAATAGCTGTTTTCCAGGTAGAAAGGAAGTAATTAAATCCCAATACAGAATTTAGAATAGACGTAAAAACAGCAATTTTACCGAATGATTTAAGTGTTTCATGGGGATTTTTGAGGGAATGATTTTCAGACGGTGAAATAAAATTAATATTTAATTTCCTGACACTAAAGAGGGAGTTGAGGCAACGTTGCGCGGCCGTACGTGGGGTAGACGAAGTTAGTTTAGTATTACGTGAGCTAATTTTTCGTTTCATTTTTGTTGCTTTTCTTATATAAATCCTTTTTTTCACTTTCTTACTAAAATATTAAGAAAATTAATTTCTTAGAGTTTAATTAAGAGCTGTGATGTATAAATTGTTACAATAAATGGAACCATGGTTATTAATGGTATATTGATTGAAACTGTTAGATCGACCCTCTGGTTTGACAAGGTTCCAACTGATATTTTATACGAGTAAACTGATCACAAAGTTTCATCTCTCAATGTATGCATCCACGCTTTCATTTCTCCACTCACAGCAGTGATTGTTATAGTAGCTATTTATTCACAGATAGTAGGACTAGTACTCGTATGTTCTACCAGTAGGAGAAGTCAGATGGAACCTTACCACTTTAGCAATTCATTTTCTTCAATAATGTCAGAATCTTGTCACTCCAAGGGATCATGATTACGAAGTAAATATTCAAAACAGATCTTTAGTTTATTCTTGAATGCAATTAAAGTGGCGCAGTATACTCTCGCCCATGCGTTATCCACATCGGCGTGTGCCCGATTTTTTGTACGAAATTTTTTCGTCTGCATCGATCCATCACTCAAATATTGTACCCAATTGCTAGGTGTAGCATCACCAACTGATTCTGACTTAAATTATCATACATTTTAATATATAACACAAATATAATAAATACATTTTTTGTTCTGTTTTATATTTTTTATTATTTTAAATGGTAAGTTTTGACACAAATGTTACGGAATTACTTAGGGAGTGTGCAAGGGTATATTACTGGTGCTTTACAGGTGGAGAGGGGATATTCAAAATGCTGCAAATTTGCATTACGTGATTTATGGGCGCTGCCATTTACAATTGTAGAGAAAACAAAATAAACACGTTCAATAAATTCGCGTTAGTATTGTTACTGACCAAAATAACAAAATCCTACTACCAGCTAAAGGACAAAGAAAAGAAGAAAACAAAAGTTACGAAAGTTTATTTTTAGGTTCCAAGAATACTCCGGGGTACGTTCGGGATATGGTAACAGTATTGAATCTATGGCACGATTTATAAGTATTGTGGTGAAGCGGGAAGCCAGTTTGTTCATTAACTTTTCTTTTCTTTCTCTCAAGAAATTCTCCTGCAACCATCATCACCAACTTCTGCCACCGAAATATTTACGTAACACTAACTTCACATGAACATTAATATGGTTGAAGTGAAGCAGAACGAGTGCTTTTAAGGATTGGATCACATGTGATTCATAAAATACAAATTCCTGAAATATAACACTACGTTTACTGAGTAGGTACAATATGTATCCACACCATATTTTGTAAGTTATTGATGGTTTTAAAATATAATTAAACCAGTTCATGTATTTGTCCGTTAAGCTTTTATTAGTAGTTGGATATAACATTGCGGTTTGTTTTTTACATATTTAAAATATTAAATACAGAATGAAGCCTCAAGTAAATAGAAAACGTGTACCGGTAATACTGTACTTAATCTTATATGAACAAAAATACATATATTAAGGAAATTGATTTTTTTAAGAAAATAGTAGGACCGAAATTTACCCAGTTTGTATAATTTGAAAAATAGTTAGCTTAGGAATGGAAAGGTTAATTGTGAAATTTCAATCAACAAACATTCATGATTTTAGAATAATTTTTCCATTTGTAACTTTTAAAAATAGAAAAACAAATGAAAATTACAATGAATAATATAAACTTGAAGGATTATTCCATCTACTATTATTTATTTATTAAAGAAAATATCCCTATGAGCGCTCGTTCATTATTTTTTCCTTTTTAATGCACGTCAAATGTTTTTAACAGTTGGAATATCTTAGAAGTTATTCAACCGTTTTCCGCTTATACTCTCTCGAATTGTCATATTTCCGTTCACGTTTCAATAAATGCATAACGACAGTACCATACACGTGTTTAGCAGAGAGCTTCAATGAAAATTTTCTGCAACAAAAGTTTCAATTTTTATTTTATTTTATTTTAAAAGTTAAAATGTTTTAAGAAAACTAATAATTGGACTCCATACTCTTCAGTCATAACTGTTCAGACCGACCCATTTTTGCAAACTTTTCCACTTTCATCTATTCCAAACAAAACATTTCTTTGCTACTTTTACCACAACAATATGATTTATAAAACTAGTTCTGACATAAACATACCGTCTTATAAGCAGAAAACAAGATTGGACCCTATTATTAACCCTTCATTACCTGGGAAAACTGTTCCATTTTGTGTTAAGTGGTAATTCTGTCATACGTTGAATTCTATTAAGCATTTTAAAGAACTTTTTAAACTCAATGTTACATTCGCAAAGTATTTATATTTTATGAATATTTCAAAATCACATATTTATTGTATTTCTATTGGCTGTTCGCTCATTCTCACAAAATGGAAGGAATGAACTCATTCAGTATGACGTCAACATCGTACTTCATATTGAGTTGATAAACCCCGTGGATGAATCAAGTGATTATATAGGGTAAATGGCTGAAGGTTCCAAGCAAATTCTTCAAAATATGAAACTAAATCTTTTGGAAATAAATTCATTTAAAAATATTGATTAAATAGAGACATGCAAGTTGTCCTTGCAGTTTGTTTCTGCAGTGGCGGCTGGTGCTCCAACAAACTGGAGTTTGCACCTTCATCGAATGACGAAAATGTAATTTTCAAAATTAAGAACACTAATATATAATAAAATTTTAGCAATTCATGTAAATTAATCAAAACTAAGTTTATTAAAAGTCTGTATTGAAACATATCTTAATTTTTAATGCATAGTGTCCCTG